CTAGTTTATGGACTTCTTGAGCTGTGTACCGTTCCTATGCATTTAGAATTCTTGGTGGATTTATCTTTCATGGACTCATTTCTGATCCATACAAATATTCAACACATAACTTCCTTTGGCGAGGAGTTCCACAGGTCTGTCACCCATGAACCTTTTGTTTCTTTGCTTTGAACCTAATACCAACACTTTGTGGGTTTTCTTCTTCTTTCAAAAGAAAGAATCAACAGTTTATCCCTGCCCACCAGTCCATGCCACTCGTAATTTTCTAAACCACTACTAATTGTTGCTCTCCCAGACCAAGGACTCCTTGCTGACCTGGTTGTTCTTCACTTGGAGCCCACTACATACACACCTCCCCGCCCTTCTCTCAGCACATCACCATTCTGCTAAACACTTTCTGAGGCAGGGGAGCTAGAACTGCTCAGAGTATTCAAGCTGTCAGTGAATCACAGATTTATACAGTGGTATAATGATGATGTCTGTTTTATTGTCTTCTCCTTTCCTAATAATTTCTAACAGCGGAATCATGTTTTTGACTGCTAGTGGGTATTGATAAGTAAAGCTATTCATGCAGAAACCCATAACTTCTCCCTTGTTTGTTCAAGTCTAACAAACTTGTTTAGCATAAAAAAGGAAAACACTGATAGCTTTGGATTTCACTTTTTTTTGGCCTCTTACCCAACCTATGAAGACCCGTCATGGGAAAGAATTAGGGTGTTACAGTAGATGTGTCTGAGGCTTGTATGCATAAAATTCATTTAGTAGACATTTTATATAATGTAAATAATTAATTTGGTAAAAAATTATTTCATAGCAGTAGTAAATGGTATATTTCTTTGCAATTAAATTTTCTTCTCTTCTTTAGTAACATTTTAATAATGTCCCACTTATAAAATTATTAATGGGGCCTGTAAATGTAAGTAATTAAGCTTAAGGCTTACTGAATTAATCCTTAATGTGATTAATTTTTACATTTGAAAAAAATTTAGAATAATTGACGAATTGCTATAATGGATTCGTCGCACTCATCAGTTAACTTTCAGTAATAAATATAGGGTTATATAGCTTATTCTATAGACAGAATTCTATAGTCTTTTTTATCTTATTTAATCTCGTGGTATCTTTTTTTTAAAAAAAGGTTTATTACAAATATTTTAATGACCGCATTTTGTCAAAAAAGCTGAAAATGAAAATGTAAGCGTATAAAAACTGATGATATTTCTTTTTTTTCCTGCTTTGTCTATTTTCCTTTTCAGGAAATATGGAAAAAGTTGGTAAAAGGAACCCTAGCAGTTTAGTTTAGAAAAAAGTTTTTAACTGCTTGTAGAGATTCTCACATTTTTCATCAACTCTGTTCATCTTTTTTATACTCATCAGCTTCAAGTCTCATTTTCATTTTTGGGGATTAGACCTCATTCAAATGATTTTTTCCCTAGATTATTAACATCCTGTGTACCTGTCAATCAAAGAAAGTGAGGTTACACTCTGTTCTAAAGCCTTGAGGTGCAACAATTTATTTTTTCCTTATTTTAATGCATGGGTGAACAGCCTTCTCTAATGTGGTGTGTCAATGATGGACTGAACATCAGGTACCTGAAGAAATGCTCAGCTCAGGCGTGCCTTTGCTCAGTCTACTGACTTGTACCAGTAAATATCGACTGTGTGCTCCTTCCACACCAAACTTCAACAATTAATATTTGCTATAGCTATTGTGATCAGGGACACATCCGTTTTTCCTAGCCCCTCTCTGACCCTTTTCAGCCTTATAATTTTTTTCACCTCAGAGTGGTTTGTTTAGTCTTCAAGCCTTTCCCTGAGTAAAGTAATTTCTTATTTGTAGACTTTAAGACTAGAAAGAACCTATGCTATCTAGTTTGTAGTCTTGGATAAACAAGGGTTATGGAGCATTACTGAATTAATTCCCTAGCTGAACTAAAATATAATATCTCATCTGATCATCAGATGTCCTATTATGGGTAACTTGCTATCAGTGTTGGGAAACTGTTCTTGTGGTCAACTGCTGCTGTCACTGTGAAAATTTTCAAGCTCTTCTTGTCTGAGATTTATTTTGCTGTTGACTCAGAGCTTCAAGGATATTTTTATTATTTGCTGTCTGTTTTGTGCTAACAGATTCTGGTCAAATTATCCTGTGACTGGCTCCCGTTGGTAGATTTTGCTTCAAAGTGTCTGCTAGATAAAGTTTATAAAGCTTCTGTCCTGTAAGGCACCATTAGAAATCCTCCCCTCTTTTACAATTACATTCGAGACACATCAGATAGCACTTATTTAATCAGTATAATGGTTGTCCCATTAAGCAGTGATGGTTCTATATATATTGAAGCAAAATCAGGTAAAATGCCTTGTATAAATATAGGTCATCAGTGGTTACCGTTCCCAACTACAAATCTTGTTAGAAAATAAATTAGTTTGAAATGAGCTAGTTTCCAAAAGCCCATGTTGATTGGATTCATCGATTCAGTTATTTATTGTTTGAGCCCATAATGTGCTAGGATTAATCTCATGGTAATGGGCCAATAATTACTCAGGGCATCTCATTTAGCCTTTTACAAAATGGTGTATGTACTTAGTTTTAATCTTCCCAAACTTTCCTGTTGTTTCGCGACTCAACAGTGTAGAAAGCTTTTGACCAGTTCTTCTAAAACTTTTAGATGCAGAATTTTAAAATGTTGATTTGAACATTTCTAATTAAATGTTTCTGTCTTTTTGTTTTATTGATCTCTTTACTTTTTCATCTGAGGAGAATGTCAGTAGTGGTATGATTCTGTCTCCTTCTAATACGCTTGGACAGTCCTTGTTTCTGTTGGTCACTTTTCTATCAACTACTTAATCTTATCTTCTTTTTATTTTTTAATCAATTGTCTGCATCATCATTTCTAATATTATTTTCCATTTTTATATTTTAGATGTCCATTTATATGCCTATATACACAGGGATATTAACATAGTATACATGTATAATTCATGTATAATATGTATAATAAAGTATATTATATTTTAATTTTATATATGGAAAGAAATATAGATATGTTTCAATTTTAATTTCATTCCTCATTTTTTATTTTTAATTTTCAGGTGGCTTTCTTTTCTAACTGTGATACATTTAGCAGCTATTAAAATATTCTTCACCCATTCCCCATCACTAGTCATTGTATTTTTTTCTATTTAAATTCCTTCTCTGAAGTGCCTTGTCTGATAATTATTCCCAGTTCTTATCTGGCAGCCAGTATGCATATACGTATCTATATTTGTATGCAATATATATATATGTATACAACTTTTTCTAATTGAAAATAGCAAAAGTAACCAAGCCAATTTTGTAACTAAAATAAACAGGCATAAACCTACCAAATTAGGATTTCTCTATGCCTAAAATCTTTTTTTTTAGTTACCTTCCTGAAGGACAGAAGTTAAGCCTATATCATTCCCCCCACTGATTTCGTATAAAAAAGATCAAACCATATTATCTAAACTGAGATTATTAGACATTATAGAATTTAGCAGTTTGCTAAGAACTGAAACGGAAATTCACCTTGGTGGCTGTAGCAACATGAATTGTTATTCTGGAAATGGCAGGAGAGAATTTTAACAGCATGAGGAGGGTTTAACAATAACTGTAATAAAAACCATAGTTAGATTACCCTTAAGTAGCGAAACCAGATGTTATATTTTTCTACTTCTCACCATCCTTCAGTTCTGTGCTCTTTTTCGGACATATATACTGAATGAAAACTTGGTATAGTTCTTTTTTTCTTATTTAAAAATGCACCTATATTATAATTCTTTCATAGCATCGTAGGTCATGTACTAACAGGTCATGATTATTCTCCTAATGAAATGGAAGTCATTTGACCTTCAACCTCACAGAATTTAATATGCACCTGGGGCATAGATTAATGGCCTGGTAATACATCCCATTTAATGTCCCGTTCCTTAAATTAACCAGCCCAAGCGCTCATTGGGAATCTATCCAATACATAAGTGAAAAAGACAGCACCTATTATGACTGGTTAAGTACCAAATACTAAAGCACTTGTAAATAGAAAAGCTGTTTTTGACGTTTAAACACTATTTCAAAATCCATACTGTGCTACAAGTTTTCTAGCAGCTAGGACTATAGAGCAGAGGTTCCTGATTTATTTATAACAGGTCAGGTAACGAAAGGGCTATCACTCTGAGCATTGCGTGAAAAAAATTAACTGTGAATCTGATGTCTGCACATTCAATAAAGGCCCTCAAAGCACAGAACAGGGTTCCCTGTCTTTTAAGTAGAGACTTGCCCTGATGCTGGTGTGGTGGGTGCTGCACTGCAAGAGACTACTTTGCAGCTGGACAAGAGCTCCTGGAGAAGTGATGGGGCAGGGGGATGTGCCTGGAGAATGGGGCCCTGGCCTTGGACCAGCAGATGGACCTGGCCCCACAGTGCCTTCACCTTCTCTCCCTGTGCTGTTGCGGTCCCAGGGAGCATCACGTTCTCCCCAAGAGGCACACGATTGAAAGCTCCCTCTCCCAGCCACAAGGAACGGCTCTAAGGCTGCATGTGGCCTGTAGTCCATGCTGCAGAAATATCTGCTAGAAATGTACTCCCAAGTAAATGTATTTACCCTACTCATTTAACAGGTATTATTACATGTTGTTAAAACTTTTTAATATCTAACAGCTCAGCTCAAGAGAGCTCCACCAGGACCTTTATAAATACCTACTTAAGAAAGAAGTTCTAAACTACAATCTAGATTATTGGGTTGAAATATATAGAACAGCATTTGTTAATTTTGTTCTGCTTTCCTTGAAGATTCCTATCCTCTTCTGCTTATTGTTGTTAGCTCTTGTTAAATGCTGGCCGTCATATTGACAGGTTGTGGGTTTTTTTTCCTTCATATGCATCTGTTCAAAGATCAAATTTAGAATCTTATAAATAGCACTAAGCTCATCCCTGTTGAAGCAAGAGGATATTTTAGGTGTTCTCCAACATGTAAATTCAACAGACTGGAGTTTTCATCAAATATCTTAAAAAGTAAGTAACCTTAACTCCAGATTCTTTTGGAAAACAAATTTATCTTTTCTGAACTCTATTATACAGACTGGAGCATACCTGGTTAAGTAATTATTTCATTCCTTCTAGTGACAGCAAAGAACATTAAATACTTACTGGAATTGAACTATTGGGGTAGAGGTACCAACTAAAGTTTTTTAAAACATATTCCATGTAAAATCTTTATTGAACAAATGCATAACTGGTGTGCAATTCCAAATAAAACCACAGTAAATAGCTTAGTACAATTAATTTTTATTAATTCATGTTTACAATGTAAAAATTATTTATCTTCTAGATTTGGAAATCCTGCATGATTGGTCAGCAGTTAAGAAAATAATATAAGAATAACTTCTACTTTGAATGCTCTAGATAAATGAAGGAATTGGGTCCCCACAGATTAGTCTGGTTATGGCATACAATTTAGAAACTTTAATATGCAGCATTTCAAGGTCCCTGATGAAATACTGATCTTTATAACTTTTACCTTACAAAAAGATTTGCAAAGATCTTTTCCATAAGCAGTGTGTGCTTGATAATTATAGAGATAACTGTGAGAGTAACCGTGAGAGGAAAAGCATATTTTTGCTAATGGCATTTGGAAAGTTGGAAAAGAGGGCAAAAGTGAAGAAAATGGGAAATGTTAGGAGAGATTAATATCTCACATGAAAATCTAAGTAAATTGGCTATGGCTATGGTTATCAGTCAGGTTATATAACTTCTCTGTGTGTTTTAAGAGTTTAACTACATAAATGCTAGCCAAGTGGTGAAACACATGCATACATCTATGCATTTACAGGCAAATCCTGCTCAAACCTTTGCCTAAATCACTGAAGAACTTTAGCTGGCAGGAGAGGGAGCTCAGGGGGATCTCCTCAATGACTATAACCACCTGATGGGAAGGAGTAAAGATGACAGAGCCAGACTTTTCAAAACCCAATTGGACACGGCCCTGAGCAGCCTGCTGTGAGTGACCCTGCTTTGGGCAGGGGGTTGGACCCGACAGTCCCCAGAGGCACCCTCCAGCCTCCAGTTCGGTTGTCTGGGGACTCCCTAAACCAATGCACTGCTCTGAGCAGGTGTAATGTCTTTGCCAGCTGTGGCTCAGCATAAAGGTAACACTGAGGCGAAACAGGGTTGGTCCTTAATCTTGTGGATACTCTTACTCAAGGCATGGAATTACTTGTCTTGGTAGACCCGGCAATTTTGAAGCTGTTTTGTGGATTTATAGTTAGCTGTGTTAATAACATAAGAAGCACCTAAGAATTAATAAAATATCTTTGCAATTTAAAACACTCTATAATGCCAAAAGGCACATGATGTTTTACAGAACAGATGTGCTTCATTTCTTATGCTGCTTATATATGACCCAGACAACCAGTCCTGCCTGCACACAGGATATGTGAAATGGGCCCAGTGTGTGCAAAATACAAATAGTTACAAAAACAGAAACAACCCCATCCTAAGCTAGTCACGATGTGGAAGGGAAAACAGACAAGTTGTTCCTTTCTTAGTCTAATCAGTCCGCAGCTCCAGAGCTGAACTATCAGTTAGGAATGAAAGACGTGTTTTAACGTGTTTTCGTTACTCTCCAATCATTCAGTATGCTGTCCTCTTCAAAGTCCTGTAGCTAACCAGTGAGAATCTTTATCTGGTACTCCTAATATGCCAGCTACAGTGTTCTTAAACATATATCACAAATTCTGTGAATATACTTGCATTTTTCTATTGTTTTATGATAGTCATATATAACATTGCAAAACAAATAGCTGAAAATAGTAATTTTTTTTGAAACCTAAAATACTTCTTAAAACCATTAACTTCTAAACATTCACACATGGCCACAATTTTTTTCCAAAGTAGGAAAATGAATTGTTTAAAACAATAGTTTACTTGATCTATGTCTTCTTGCAAAATTGCTTACATTTTTAGTAACGCTAAAATGGCAGGAAGTCTTGTATACCACTTGTAAGTTAATATACAGTAATTAATGGTAGCAGAAGATTAGTTTCTCTTGTTATAACAGAAGAAAGTAAAGAGTCCATTTTTGTCACTTCCAAATTATCATGAGTTTCTACAGAAAGATTCTCTTGAGTGTGTGGCTTTTGAGGTTTACCATTTTCATTTCAGTTTAGAACAGTTAAAAGCATAGATATTGGCTTGTTCCAAAGGCTATTTCATTGATATTTGCAATCATTTTTTCAACCAGAATGTCAAATTTTGAGCAGTTTCAGTTCGACTTTTACCAGTCCAATTATACCATAGATGACCAGGAAGAAGGTTACAACAGTTATGGGTCTAATGAAAACCTCTGTGGAAGCAGAAAGTAAGTATGCTACAAAAAAAAAAAAAAAAAAAAAAAGAGAAAAACGACGATATATCTTGTAGCTCAAATGAAATTAATGACAAAAACCAGCATGCAATTGCCAAAAAAAGGATTGCATAATCAATACAGTGGAAGTTTTAGTGGAGAAACACAAGCCATAGCCATAGAAAGACAGGAAGAAACTTATTATTTCTTTTTTTTTTTTTCTTATATTTTTTAAACCTATTGGTAACTTCTGCCCATGGAAGAGGGACACTGAGGGAAAGAAGTTCTGAGAGTTTCCCCATAAGGAGATTTCAACATGACGGTGGTAGGAGGCTGGGTGTTGCTGCAGGTTCCCTGTTCAGCAGCTGATGGATCCGGCTGGCTTTGGGGCTTGCAGGAGCAAGAAAGAGCTTCCAGAGATCATCTAGACTTTCCCCAAGGCAGAATTACTTATAATTGAACCTTTCTTTACAAAGGATTGGGTTTCATGCTACTTTTATACATACAGATGTTACAGGCTGTTTACCTAATTGGAGCAATTGAGCTTCATGTTATTAGCAGTATGGACATATCTACGGAATGTCACCAGGCTGCTTGTGGGCGCCCTCACAGCTCCTAAATTCCCTTTCCCTTCACTCCCCACCGGGGGGCCTGCGCTGTGCCATTGCGAGCTGGATGGGCGCAGAAGTGGGTGCGATGGGCTGCAATGTGCTGGCAGGCTGGCAAGGGGCCCTGCCTGGTTTCAGAGGGGGTTGGAGTGAAGGGAAGCAAAGCCATGGTCAGCAGCTCGGCCTTCACTGCGCACGGCAGATACTATGCCCAGAAAATTTCCAGGTTCCCCAAATTGAAAATAGGTGAAAATTTAAACCATGGTATATGGTGAGCAGCTCTAAGTTGTTGTGAAGTTGCTCATTGCAGTTACTTGTTTTGCTGTGATTTGCTTCTTGTCCCAGGAGCCAGACAGGAGAGCAAACTCCAGCCACTGCTTTTGTCCCATCGGAAATGTTTCTGTCCTCTCAGAGTTACACAGGTCAGATTTTGCAGCCAACGTACAGTCCCGACACTCTCTCTTATCTTAGTTACGCTGACGGATTTGACGAGGAACCTCCTTTGCTAGAAGGTAAAAATAAAACCACGGACAATGTGCATAGTTCCTGGGGGTGCCTATACTTTTCTTTGCCGGCAAGTGGCAGTCACCAGAGAAACTGCAGCAGAGCTGCCAAGCCTGGCTGTACGAGCTTCAGCCAACAGCCCCTGGCCCCCAAATCTACATTTTCTTATTTGAATTCACCTTGGATTCATTCAGCCTTGTGGCGTGTATAGCATATACTTTATTACCACTAGATGACAGCATAACAATAAGTTTTGCAGTCAGATTTCCAACTATTTTTTTCCATTCTGTGTTTATCCTGCATACATATTGGTACATCTATCATTAATAAATACTGATAATAATCCTTTTTGCCTATCTATTAATAAATTTAATAGTTTGAAGATGCTAAATAGCTTGTTTCAGTGGGAAACAAATTGAGAAACCTGCTTTCGGCTTCAATCAGTTGATCATTTAACTACACAAACAATATCATTCTTTATGATGATTGAACCATCCTAATGCTAGTGGCTGATTTTGTAGTTTACAAAATACTTGTGCTACATTAAAAAAAAATCGAAGAATTTGTTTGTGATTATTTCAGCATAACATAAAAAGAGCATATTCATCCTTCTTTTGCATACTGGAAGGCAAGTGGATTTTTCACTGCTTAAAAGATACTCCTACTGCCTTAAAAACAGCAAGATCACTCTATTTGATGTAGATAACTGCTAGATCTTTACCTCTCAGACCTCCAAGCATTTAAGTCCACAGGCAGCCCACCCTGTGAAAAGGATGTTGAAATAAAACTGCTTCTGATCAGGGCTTCAGAGATGTTAATGTCTGTGTACCAAATAATTCTGACCAAAAAGACACACATTTTAATCCAGAACAGCTTTATATAATGTTTTGGCTCAGCTCAAGGTGATGGATCGGTGGAATAAGGTAAAGACTTGGCTTTCCAAACAGATCTAGCGCATTGTCAGTCTCAGTAATTCTGGCACCCAGCTCTGAACCTAACTTTTCCCTTGCTGGAGCATCTCAGGGAAGATGATTACTCTTGCAAGCTGAAGTGTTTCTGCAGAAGTTACAACAGAAATCTTCGCCCCAGTAAAGTTAATGGCAGAATTCCCATTGACTTTAATGGGGAAGAATTTTGTTCTGTTTCTAGGGGTCCTCAGTAATTACTTTTTAAAGGCAAAAAAAGCTTATAAAGCACTGCACAAAGTATTGTTAACTTGCCTTGAAGGAAAGAATGTCATTTTTAAGTGCATCTGACAGTTCAGGCTTAAGACACATCTCTTGTCAGATTTGCCAGCATTAAAGCATATATCTCTGTCCTCAGTGTCCTAGAGTATCTTGAATTCTGCAGTTACTGTTAATTAGCATATTTTTCAACATCTAAGTTAGTGTGGCATTAGATATATGGGGTTTAAATATAGGAAAAACAAATATTAACTCAAAAATGCTGAGGGCATTTTTTGGTTCACTGCCTAAAATTGGATTTAATAAATTAATAATCCAATTTAGAATCAGAGCTGACTCTCAAATATACTGGGTATATAGCAGGGATAGCACATTCCTACTACAGAATACGTCATCCTACAATATTATCTGCATTAAACCAATTAATTTGTTTACTTCTTTGGGGTTTTGTGGTAGCTAATGGGTTTCTGTAAAAGTGTTGTTTTCTTGTGAGCAATTAACAATCCCGGAATTTCTCATTGCAGAACTTGGGATCAATTTTGAGCATATATGGCAAAAAACATTAACAGTTCTAAATCCAATGAAGCCTGCAGATGGCAGCATCATGAATGAGACAGACCTCACCGGACCCATGGTTTTCTGTTTGGCCCTTGGAGCAACATTGCTGCTGGTAGGATGTGGCAGATATCTTGAGAAATTTCTTTTGTAACAAGTTAATGCCTAGGTGATAATGGATGTGAAGTTGCAGAAGATGTAGCACTGGCATAAAATGAATCATTTGCTGCTGTTTGTTCTGAGATTATATATTTAAAAGTCTCCTTGCTTTGAAAGTACCTGCATAAAGTTTAAATGTAATGTAGGTGTAATACAGGTGAAGTGATGTATTAATTCCAGTGGAAATAAGAGACCACACCATTTTTTGGGGTGGGATTTAATATGAACGAAGGACAGATCTGTGCAGCGTGTATCCTGCAGAGGCTGTGAACACCTGAAGCATGGCAGTGTGCACTAGGTTAGGACCTAACAAGGAGGTTTCAAAGGAGGGAATAAAAAGGCGTAACAAAGCAGCCCTTGCTACTATTTTGAAATTATCTTCTCTCAGTGTTACTTTGTGGAGTGCAAAGATATCAAAAAACTGTCTTTATGTAACTAAAATAATTTGAAAAGGGAAGTGGAAACAGCCTCTTCCCTCCTGCCTCAAATTTGCAATACCTTCCTATAAATTTTGTTAGTGCTTTCTTAGTTTATATTCTTTTTCTATGTCATCTGCTAAACAAAATATGGTGGCCTGTGTTTAACCTCTTTCCTCTTTATGAATATAGCTTTCCTACAGGAGGAAAGTTGAACAGGGATTCTACACTACTCCTAAATTCATCTATTTATCACTGACAACAGGGGCTCTCCAGTGCTGCTGAAGTACAGCTCTGATTGTCGGCAGCAATTTATCAGGCAAGGATAAGGTGGGACCATTCTAGGAAGGGCTTTACTGCTCTAGCAACTGAGGTGAGAGAAATGGGGCTCTAATTCTCCAGTTCCTCTGTGATAAATAGTGCTGAATCCGAAGACTCTTGCAAGTTCTTACTCAATTTGTAATGTCAGTGCAGTACCTTGAATGTGCAAACTGCAATATAAATGCCAAGTAGTATTATTATTTATGTCCCTATAAAAATAAAAATCCTTTAAAAGGGTGGCAGCAGCAGGAGAAAAGGGAATAAAAGGAAAAGAAGGTGGGGAGGAAAGGGAATAAAAGGAAAAGAAGGTGGGGAGGAAAGGGAATAAAAGGAAAAGAAGGTGGGAAGCTAGAGAAGACAGACTATGTTCCACCTAGAGAAATAAAGGTATGAGGGGAATAAAAGAAGAAAGTGTTGAATTGATTATAATCAGGAAAATGGAAGGAAAGCTAAAAGAAAGAAAGAATTAAAAAAAAAAATGGTTGTTGTTGATTTTGCTCCCTGAATAGCCAACAATTATAATGAATATTAAACTACTATTATTGAAGTAAAGTACTTTAATTACTATATTTATTCTGGGAGAGTAAGCGGTTTAAGTATCATTAGAAAAACAACTATTTTCAGTGCTTCATTTTTAGGTCAGCAGAACTCCTCTGATACAATCTAGTGGTTTTGTGCCACAACTTCACAGCAATAAGTCTATGGGATTTCCATGGGCCATCTTATAAAATCAGGCTGCTCATTTTATCTCACATGCATTTGAATACTAAAGTGGCTCTTCAGCTGTGTAAGCTATGATATCCTTCTGTACTTGAATAATTCTCTTCTAATAGCACCAGGAACATAATTTGGTTGAGAGCTTGTTTCCAAAAATAATTTATAAATTTTATTTAGTTTCAGCTTTTTAACTATTGAAAAATATGCAAAGATATTCTTCAAATGGTAGCAGTTCTTTCAGAGCACAGAGAAAGAGGAAAGGATTGTAAGCCTGGCAGCAGGACTTGATCTTCCTCATACGGGTATAAAACAGGGCAGCTCCATTGCAGACAGAAAAACAACGGCAGTGCGAAAGTTAGCAGAAGCCTGAGTCTCAGCTGCTTTGCATTTTACATAGTCATTCGTATGAAATCAGACTTCCCCATCCATTTAAACTAAGGATAGTAGTACCCACTCTAGGCAGATGCAAACAAGCACACAAAGTCTGACTTTCTTCTAACCTTGTTCCTGCCGCAGGACAAATTTAGCTCTTTCCATTCATCAAAGCCTGCCAGACTAATCAAGCCTGATTCTGGTTTTGCTTACATCACTGTGAATTGGGAGTATTCCCGTGTGTGTGAGTCAATGTATTTACATATGTTTAGAAAGACTAGAATCGGAACCAGCATGTTCCGCTGCTTTTTTTTTTCTCTCTCATTCTCCTGCACCACAAATCAAACATTTCACCAAGTGGAGGCTTCAGTTAGCTTCTAGTGCTAGTGCTTCCTTCATCTCTGTCTCAGTAATTTCTTAATCTTAAACTAAGATGCTAAATAGCACTGTGTGGAATAACTAAATACACTGAAACAAACAGTCTAAAAGCTTGTAGTTGTTGTTGCATCTGTTTGAGACAGAGTTTTTTTCAGTTGGTCCATAGTAAAGGCTGCCCCAACCCGTTGTGGATGGTAAACTTACTACAAATCTTTAATAACTGAAATTGTAATTGGTAATAAACTGAGTGAGTATTGCTTTCCCACACTATCTCTAGCTATCATTGATTTTATTTGGTGAAGCAGTTTTTCCTTATTATTTTATACCAGTAGTATGCAAATGCCAGCAAAGTACTCTGTACCTAAATAGGAAGAGTTCTTATGTTGGTAGTTCAGGAACAGAGTATTCCTTTATGGTGGAATGCACTGGTGGGGAAAAGGCCAACACTCGGGATGTATTGAAGATATAGGCAACCTGGCTATACCTGACCCAACCTTGAGGACTGGAATTAGAGGAGAGCTCAGCAATGTGCCAGGTCAAGCCAAAAACAGATAACGGTGCTGATGTAGAGGCAGGTCTTATGAACTGAGGCTGCCTTTCACATAAGCATGCACTGCTTTCCAACTGGAGCTAGTGAATTGTCAGAATCTGCAACATTAGGACTTTCAGGTTGTGTCATCTCTAGATAAGGCTCTCTCCACTGTGTTGCTTTTTATCTGTCCAGCTCAAATACCGCTGGCATCCAGTGATCAGTTTCTGACCAAATGGATGCGGGAAGCAGAGAAGCAGGGTCCTCAAAGATCGTTGGTTTCCCCCAGGTTTTATTAAAATGTATGGATGAGTAAAGTAGGAGATCTTCGCAATCCTCCCTAACCATTGTGGAAGAGATACTTGTAAATATTGCAAACCATAACAAAGCTTCAATAATATTTCCACCTTATCCATCACAAGAGAATCCAACCATAAGCTAAAAAGTTCCTAGGAAACTGGAACCCTCTATTAGTTTTGATTCTCATGTCGTTTATGATATGGAATGTATAATGTATGCAATATATAGATGTGTGTATGCACAAACACACCTGTGTTTTAAGTATGTATGTACATATGGTTATGTGTTAGGAAGGTGATGCATTGTGGCCCTTCAACTGGGAAGTTTATTCCATGATCCTGAGTTAAGGGCTGAGTCCCAGGTTTGAGCGTTCTCCTTCACAAATGCGTGTTATCTTTAGGATACAAAGTTTCAACACAAAGCAAACAAAAGCATCTTCATCCCAATTGCTGTTTATTTCTGATGTACAAATGTTTATTTCTGATGTACAGATATGAAAATGACAGTATTGCATAGCTGACATTCGGTATTTCATTTCTTAGAAGCTTGAATAGAGAGAAACAATATTTTACAGTCTTTTGTGAGTGTTCATTTTTGGGAGTGAATAATGCCCTCATGCCTGGAGGTGATCCTTCAAAATGATGGCAGGAGATGAAGAAATCGGTGGTGCTGTGGCCACTGTTGCCTGTTGTACTAGCTTTGTGTATAAATTAGAAAACATCAGGCTCCAGGCTGTCAGGCTGGTACCTTTCACAAGCACTAAATTCACACAAAGGAATAAAACCTGGAAGAAAAAAACACCTGGGGAATTTTTCATTCTTTGGAACAAAAAGAGAACACAAACTGACAGTTACTACTAAGGTTTATGTTGAAATGAACCTGTTGTATTGATCTAACTACAGAGATGTGTCTTTCTCATGGTAGTCAAGGGGAAGAATGGACACATTCACCCTGAAAACCAGCATACTTTCAGCAAAATTTTACTTATTTTTTGCAGTCCTTCTTAAAGCTGGAGATTTGTAATAAAATGTTAAGCATATCAAGTAAGTGGGGTCATCGTTTTACTTAGGACACTTTTCCACAGCCCCATGTACACCTATTGGAAAGATTTTTCCTGACACTAAAATGTATTTTCCATAATTTCTTCTCAGTTTGTTACCAGTTAGACCTTCCCAAGTCTCCCCAGTCAATTAGTGTCCTGTTCAGAGCCCAATGACAGTAAGACTGAGAATTCAGCCTTATAGCTTTAAATTAGCGACAAGCACATTCTCACAATTGTACCTTGGAATTTTTTGATGCAAACATCACCCAAAAGTATCAGCTGTGGTTTACAATTGAACTGATGTAGGCAAAGCAGAGAGAGAGTGTCAACAAGAAAAAGTAACAAGCCTAGTGCTTGCCTTCTGTCTTCTCCCACCACTTTGCAATCACTTGCTCACTTCTGATGCTTCATGCTTACTCATATTTATTCCAGGCAGGAAAAGTTCATTTCAGCTATGTGTATGGCATGAGTGCCATTGGGTGCCTTGCTATGCATGCCCTACTGAACCTGATGAGCGTCCCAGGAGTCTCGCATGGCTGCGTTGCAAGTGTCTTGGGCTATTGCCTGCTGCCCATGGTGATCCTGTCCTCTTCTGCAGTCGTCTTCTCGCTACAGTAAGTACCAGTCTATGGCAACAGGAATTATATGGAAGACAGTAAGTCGGAAGGCTGGTGTTATGCAAAACATTTTGTAAATGGTTATGTAGTGAATTTTGGCTTCTGAAACTGTGAAGAAAAATACCATTTTGTTTGTGTGTGTAGGTGGAAATGGATAAAACTGAACTGTTCTTGAGAGGGGTGATATATATCCATTTTAATATGAGTCCTTAATTCCACTGTTTCCCACTTGGACTGAGAGTGACTTTGATTTTTGCAGCAGCCCCGGGTGTGATTTTCATTTTGCAGAGCCAACAGTGGCCGAACTCAGGTATCAATTTTAAAAGCGACTGCTGGACTTTGGTTTAATATAGGTGGTTCTCATGTTCTTTTTTTGTTCGTAGTATCAGGCTCCCATCCTTACACTTCCTTTCCTTATGTAAATCGAATTCTGTGTGACAGAATGAAACAATCAAGCAACGCTTAATGACTTGGAGCATTAGAACAAGTGTTTAAGATGTAGTAGAGTCATATACTCTGAGGTATAGTTGTGGTGTAATTGCAAAGCTGAAAATAACTGAAAACTTTGAAAAAACAAATGTGTGGTGGCCTATGTATCTGTGTGTGTCAAGGGGTATTCAGTAATATGCCTATGAATAGGAAATTTGTATGCAATCCTCTCCTTCCTCATTTGGTAAGCCTTTTGAGATACAGACTGTGTTTACCTCCCTGTTCACGTACAGCAAAGTACAAGGAAGCTCCAGGTCTTGCCTGAAGGCCTTGAGCAGTACTTTTATCCATCGTTAACATGTTATTAATAACGGTTCCCCTCCTTAGTCTTTGTTGTTCACTCACATTTTTAACTCTCCAATCTGTAACATATGGGACTTGGCAGCTGATGAATATGAAAGTGCCCCTGTTTGTTTTCTTTGGAAAAGCAGCAATTCTATATAAGTATATATTATCTTTTAAGGAAATTATACAGTGGGATGAAGATTTTGGCACAATCCTTGTTGTGTGTTTCTGTGGAGCTTTGATGGGTTAACCTGACCATATTCCATGTATTAAAGCATTTCTGAGCTGTCCTTGCTGAGATGAACAGTAGTGACACTGAAGAAGCTGTTTATTCTCTGTTCTCCTACACTTCCCATATTTTCTTGATTAACCTGCTTAATAATCCACCTTAATAAAAGGTGCAGATACATAATTGTAGGGCAGATGGGGCGAACTCCAAACCAGCTGTTACAACTGCGCAGGGTACTGTTGTCTGTACAAGGAATCCCCAAGCACATGCCACACATTTGTAAAGTGCTGCAGATTTACAGAAAGCACATCTTTTGAAAATCTATAAATAATGTACTGTGATAGCCTTTACAGAATTAAACCATTATTTCTGAAATTAATTGATAACATTAAGTGCCTGTCTACAGGATTCTGCAGTCCTTTCTCATTCACTATATGAAACTGCTTGAACATAGCAAGTACCAAGGTTAACTATTATGAACATGCTATTAAAATTAAGTGGCAACTTTAAAATTCAACATACATTTCATTATTTTTATTTTAAAAACTTATTTAAAATGGAAAGGAAAGACAGCAATACATTAATGATTTTTTTTAGTATTTGTAAAAATGTTATTTCTCTCTGTTTCAAAGTGTAAAGAACTAACTTCACTGAAAATATACATAAGATAATACACACATCTATTGCAAAGATACATACTAATCCAAAAATTTTCAGTTTTCATGATTAGCTATTTCACTGTAACTGAAAAAGGCATAATATGTAATGTTTTGAGTGCTGAATAGTACCAAAGAGAAAAACAGTTCTCTTATGCAAACTCGCGTGGAACCGGATTTGTTTGTGCCCATCTATGCTGATATAATGTCTGAGCCCAAGCTGATTAGGTCTCCTTTTGGGGAGAAACTTCAGCAGACTTTTCTCCTGGAAAAAAACAACAATTCTTTACTATGAAATCCCTGAACAGCATGGCCAAGCCATTTCCTTGACTAAACAGTGAAGGAAATGAGTGTAAGAGTGGAGAAAGGAATTCTTAGAGCCAGCTGATGCAAAGGACCCATTTGGTGACAGCATCTGCAGGTTGTGAGAGAGAGGTGCGGAGAGGGTCCACTCATGTCTGTCCCCCCAACTCATTCTCATGCCAGTACACCCCCAGTCCTCTTGGTCACTGTGAGCATGACATCTGCCTTTTGCCCCTCTCCCATGCTTGAGGATTTGGCCCTCATGGATATGCTAGACAAAAGCTCTCTGCTAAAGCTAAACCATTCCTTTTGGCAGTAACATGCTGTTAGATCAAGGACTGATTTTATAAGTGCACAGAAGTATGTCTTGCCTCCAATCTGATCTTATGTCACCTTTCCATACTGCTCACTGCCAGTCCTGGAACAAACCACGAGAGGCCACTGGACTTCAGTGCAAGGCAGAACAGCCACAGCTCTAAATTGTACTACCTTGTGGTAGCCCCATAAAGAGTCATTATATTAGCTGAAAATTGTCATCGCACAGTATGTTCCTTTTACATCCATCCCTCTGCCAGCATGAGTACCTGCTGAAAGAGCCATCCTTACCAGCTCTGAGTTTCTGGCTAGCTGTTTAAGTGAGCATCCGAGCATCTCCACTTGGAGCACAGGCCAAGAACTTGGTTCACAGAGCCCAGTGTAATTTCCCTGAATGCCACTGTATAGGTTTAAAGAACACTTAAACTGAGGATATTAAATCACATAGTCTTTAATGTTTTATTTTTAACAGGTTGAAGTTGCGATGAGGTGCTGAGTCACCTTAAAATCAATTCTCTCCTTCCTCCCCCAAAGTCCCAAGAGCTGACAACAATCCTGGAGACTGGATTGCCAAGAAATGAACTATTTTATGTGATGTGATTTCCTTAAATAAACTAAGTCTATTAAATAAGGAGAGCTTTACGCATCATGGCTTAATTGCAATAATAATATTAGTGGAGATTAGTTCTGATAAATGGACCTAAGTAAGTATATGTAGTCTGTTTCTCACTTCTGGTTCTGTTTTGCTGATACTTTGGAGAAGTGGGGTGCCAGAAAGTCCTTTAGCAAGTGGCAGAGGTTCATTCATTCTCCATGTCCTTGAGACTGACACAGCAAAAGCGTGTAATGCAGCCGATCTCATTATGTACTTCTGAGGTGTATTACGCGCATGATCTCATGCATTTTACAGAAGGAGGCTGCAAATACAGAGTGCAAATAAAGCATATGTGAAACATTATTTATTGGCAAGATTTTGTTCCTACAAGGTTTAATAGTGAACTCTCTGTAATCTGCAGGAATATTTCAGTGGATTTTTGACCATAGGCCCATACTCATCAGTTCTCTAGGCCACCCTGCACCTCAGGGGGAGGCAGACTGTAACTTCAGATGGGCTCGGCTGTCACCAAGGGGCAGTGTGGAAGGCCACCATTCTGCCAGTGAGCAGGGAAAGATGCCAGGATGAACAAAATATTTTTTCTCATTTTTCCCATTCTTTACTTTCTACTCAATGTGCACCTTTTTTTAAAAGACCAGTTGAGCTTTTTCCTGGGAGGCAGTCAACACCTTTCTGCATGGTCAGCTGCAGTGTAATTCTTTAAGAGCCTCATTGCCCCTCCTTAGAGTCCAAGGCACACTTGAAACCTGTGCCATGTGTTACAAAAATGCAACCTCTCCAGGTCATCAGGCTGCCTGATGGAAGATTAGGTCTGTAGTGTCATTTTAGTTCCTAACAACTTCTACAAGATGATTTTGGCTATAATAGGAGCTTTGCTAACTTTAAAATTAAACTTCAGCTGCTGCATCTGCTGGAGCCCCGAAGATTTATTTGGAAATGCACTTGTCGTTTTAGCTGTACTACTGATGAAGTTGCTGCTTTTATCCATGCTGAAGAAATTACCTTTTTGTTTCCTGTTTCTATTTTAATTTGTTTCTCAGGTTTGTTAGTCCTTGGTTCTTCCAGTGACTGTTACCTTATCAATAACAAGTTGCCAGGCATGAACTTGAGTTTGATAAGATTTAATGCTACATTTACTAACAAGTGGATTCTGTCATGTTTCTTTTGTTTTTTTCTCCTAGGGGGATCCTGGGAACTGTGTTAGCTCTGTTTATTATTGGATGGTGCAGTTTGTCAGCCTCCAAAATTTTTACCTCTGCATTGGCTATGGAAGGACAGCAGCTTCTTATTGCATACCCGTGTGCTTTACTCTATGGACTTTTTGCACTTCTAACGGTTTTCTGAGATGTATTTTCTGGTAGCCTTATTACAGTCTGTTTATGGTTGTTGGAGGGGCAAGGGGTTATTTACTTATTTTTAGATTGCCTAGAGTTGCATTACGTTCCATTAACAAAATTAGATTATAGGACTTACCTTTTATTTGCCTAATGGCTGATAATGACATAAAAAATCAAGCTTACAAGTAGATGACTGCAATAATGGTGTTTTGAAAGTCTTACAGCTTAAAGAAAAACATTTGTATTGAGAAAGTAGTAAAAATGAAAAAATATGAAATAAAAGATAATTTAAAAAAAAATCTTTTCTGAGTGTTTAATATATAATACACATACTAGGGAGTAACTGGAAAGCAATAATGTAAATATTTATTAGACCTAGTAAATCAAGTGAAAATACAAATTTATTTGTTTCAAAAAAACCCAGCTTGCCATCTTATATGATTACTAATTAATATCCAGAATTTATGTGTGGGGGGTTGTTTTTTTTTTAACGGAAGAGTGAGTGGCTCTGCTTTGTGATGTTGAAGAATTGTCCAAGAACAGGTTGCTACAACAGAGGGAGGAAACTAGGAATGTCACTTGGTTTTGTTTTTGGTTTTTTTTTTCAAGAGGTGTTGCTGTCCAAAACACTATTGTACTGTTTGTAATGTACAGTAATGTTACATTTGAAAATTGCCACTAAACCACCACATACTGTCACTGCAGAAAAGCACCACACAAAGCAAAGGCAACTCTTAAAAATGTCTCCTGAAAGGCAGAAATGTATTTGAGCAAGCAAAATACAAAATTCCACAATTTTATCTGCCCCCAAAAAATCTATTTGCTGCTTTTAGTTTTACAGGAACCTAACATTTTTATAATAGCAATGAAGCACAAAATGCACAAGATGATGTTTCAAAATACAATATTAGAAGTTTCAAGCCATCAAGAGGAAATGGAGATGTGTGTGCAGTCATAACAAGAGCAAAATCCAGTAGGCAGTGGTAGAGAAAATGAATGTAGCTGTAGAAAGGGCTAGGGAAAAGAAACAGATGAAATAAAGGGAAATGTGAAGGAAACAAATGGCAGCAGATTATTTCCTCGGTGTTTTAGGGTGTCTCCCTTCTTGATGAATATTTTTATGATCTTGATTATCCTCCAATTTATTCATTATTTTGAACTCTTCAGTGAAACGCCTACAAAATATTTCTCTCTCTAGACAGAGTACCACTGATTCTGTGACAGAGGGTCCTGGTGCTGCAAACACTTATGCAGAAGCTTAGCATGGCAAAACTGCTCAAGAATATGTAAAATTCACTGTTTTCCTAATCCTTTTCAGGTCAGGGGTAAATTAGATGATCCATTTGTCCTCAAGCTAGTGATTCTGTTTCTGAATTGAAAGAGCCTTTGGTAAAAATATTTCCCATTGCTAGCATTATTTTTTTTTAAGAACTCTTGTGCAAACCATTCTGGAATTCATTTTACTGAACTCCAGTGGAACTAGTTCAGACTAGGCATCCTGAGAAGTAAACAAAAGGTAATGCGTACTTAGGCAATTCCTTAAAAAATCACAACTCATTTATGGGAAAATACTTGCTGCCTTTATCCATTTCTTTGTTGCAAAGCTAGGAACAGAGGCACAGAGAGGCAAAGTTGGAGGCATGACCCTGGAGCCAATTGTGGCTATAACTAGGCAAGATCTACTTGCATATAAGTGGGAAGTGTGTGAATTTGGAAGATCAGCATTTGCAAGCACGACAGATTTGGCCCTGCTGTATCAGGGCCACTAATTTGCCACTAATGAGGCACAGATAAACATGTCAAGTGACTCCAGGGTGTGGTTATAAAACCAGGCAGTTTGATTTACCATGCTCTAATGGCATTCTGTTGTCTGAATAGGGA